CCGGCGGATTTTGCTATGTAAAATTCCGTCCCAAGCTGAGTTGGGCTTAATAGGCGGCTGGGCCTATTAACCGTGGGCTTAATAACCGGCAACTACTGTACTTCTTCATAGAGCGGATACTGCGTAGTTATTCTGTGGAACAGATGCGTTACTTGCGCGTTAGTGTTTGGCGCTGCTAGTTCACGTCATATACACTTAACATAAGTTATTTCCATTTATATTTACGAAATGTTACTGTACAACGCAAATAGAATAGCGTGAACTAATCTATTCTAGTTATGGAACGGAAATTTGTATGTCCCGTTGCCTTGGAGCAGAGGGTCCAATGACTGCGTCAACGGGAGCATAATGACGGACTGTAAAGAATCAAGTTTTTTCCCTACGAATATAGGGACGCCTCAGGGCAATTTCTGTATTACTTGCCATCCTCCGTGTGGACGATGCCCGAATCCCAGGTTGCACATCCGAGATTCAAGTGTTAGTCAGGTGATCCTTCAGCAGTCCGCCTAAGATCACATTAATGACCTCACGTCGGCGACCAAACCAAGTATTTGGGCACATGAGTGCAGCTTGCACGCAAACAAAGCGTACATGTTGGTGGATGTGTGGGATACGATGTGGTCCGGCCGGACAATAGATGATAGAACGTATCCAAACGGTTATAAGCTAGTAGATATGATAATGCGTGGAAGGCCAGAGTGTTAGGAATAATATAATTAAGTGTTGAACGAGTGGAACATGGGTAATAGGTAATTCACTCCCAGCCGAGTTCCGTCCAGCCATGAGCGGGCCGTTCCGGGAGTGTCGTGTCCGTAAACAATCCGCGCACTAAGGTCCTTTGTGGACCGGCCTTGGGAAGTGGTTGGCCAGTAAGGCCGGACAGAGGGTGACCTTAAACGGGGTTTTTGACAACCTATGGCGCGCACTGGCTGGCGGACACGAGAGCCAGACATGCGGGGCCTATGTGCAAATCATGGCTTATAATACAAGATCACTACAGAAGGACTCGCCTAAATGGGTTACGGTACTCACTTGTCTCGTTCAGCCTTGGGGTTCTCTCTCTCTCTTTAACCCCGCCAACAGCCGCACAGCGTGTAATACTGACAGCTAGCAGGCCAGGAAGGCTCTTTTCAGTCTCCCTTGTCTTTCCCGATAATGCGTTCCTGCCAATAAAGCGTAACTGTAAGTGTTCGTCCTACAGTTAGGACAGATGGGTGCACGTTGTACCAAATCGACTAAACACTCCCGATCTTAACCGGGATGATGCAGATCCGTTAGTTTAGTAAGGAGAAGGCTGCCCGTGAATCAGCTGCTTCGGGATTCCTGTTTGGAATTTTTATTCTGAAGTCTGATAATAATTGACTGAGGACGTTAAATAGGCCATAAAACCTTTGCGGTCTTCCTATCATTGTCAGTAAAACAACGCAAACATTTATGCGCCAATGTGGCTGCATAGAAAAGCATAAAAGTATTAAAGTGTTTTGCTCACTGTTTGCCCGGCATTCTTTAACTCAATTCCCCCAGAGCTTATCGATCGCACTTCTTCGCCGATACTGACGAAGATCTCGGAACAGCGTCTGACCTTGGTGGGATCCTCGTCGTGTATTGGATGAGGAGTGCCAATAATCCTGAAGAGAACGCTCAGAAGCGGTTTTTTATTCTGACCCAGTCGCTTGCTAACAATGTTGAAACCACACTGCATAACATCAGCTTTGAAAACAATAGCGCTGGTTATTCTCAGATCCACCGTCTTCAACTCAGCCGGAGGCATTGTTTCATTGCAAGTGTTCAGGTTTGCTTATAAGGAAAAAAAGTCCTCAGCCTTAATCCGAAACCGAGCTTTTATGATATACCAAAATGTGGTGGTATTATATTTTCGTTTGCACAGCTTCTACATACTTGACGTAACGAGCTACCATAGTTTTCAAAAGAAGCAGTGATAAAAACAGATGCCTATGTCTATATTCCATGACTAAATAAAATCGACTCTAGTGCAAAAGAAAATCGGTCATCATCCCCATAATCACAATGAAACTCGCATTGGGTCCCTTACCGATACACTACTGTACGAATGATACGACTCTTGTTTACTATACCATCTGCGGGATAAGATAAAGATAAGATAAAGAGATAAGATAAGATAAAAAGAGAAACAGTCTCTCCAAACATTTTTAATCGTAAGTAACTCCTGGGCAAGCAAACATACACTCATTATAAAAATAGGGCGCCACGGAATCTAAGAGTTCTTTCACAACACCTGCCATAAAAGTGAATTTGCGAGCCCCAGGAAGCAGTTCAGGAGAGGAAGATGCGACCACTGGAACAAGAGTTTTTTTCCTGACGTTTCGGATTACGTCGGGAATCCTTAATCATAGGTAATGGTAGGATAGTCTGAGTCATACGCAGGCTGGGGTGAAATATGCACAGATTGCCATAAAACTTAATGGAAAACAAATTCAAAAATAGGTGACTTTAATTTTCAGTTTTTCATGCCATGTTGTAGACCGTCTACGGAGATCTGAACAGTCAACTATAGGCAATAAAAGTGGAACTGAGTTTTATCTATGAACATGACCAAATAAATTCGTGAGACCCGCATCCTGGTTGACGTATATTCTAGGATGATTCACTTCAAAGGAATGAACGTGGAATTGAAAGAAGTGTGTGCAGTCAGACTACTTTTATCACCATTAGTTTGTATATTGCAAAATTGTCGAGGTAATATCTCAGCAGAATTAAGTTGCGTGTTTTGACCATACTTTCGAGTGGCGTTAACTTTATTAAGTTGTATTTTTGGATTAAAAAGTTTAAAGGTTCTTGTTATTACGGCTGAACAAAAGAGAAGTTTTTCCAAACTTACTTAGAATAGTCTGCGTATGAGAAGTTTGTGCATCGAGCAAGAGGAGAAACAGATAGAGGACACGAAGATGAATCACACTTTTTATTCTACTAGCCGCCTTTTTGTGCATTGTTCCTGTAATGAATGGACAGACAAATTGCTGAACACGCTGCCACTTTGTGACTTTATCGATCGACTAGAAGTTTTAAAAGTGAGGAGGCCAGGCGTCTCTTATTCAGCAAGGAAGACCGGTGGCTGGTTAGAGCATTAACTTGAAATGTTATCAAAAAGTTCAAAGTTTTTAATGACGCAGAATATAATGATTAGCCATTTCATCACCTCTCAGATAGTCCCTTAACGTTGTTTGTCTAGTTTTAAACGCACAATAAACGAAAGCGAGTAGAGAGGAGACTAGCCTGAGAGTCCAAATCTTCGTCCCTAAAAGAATTTTTGAACACATTGTAATTTGTCAGACGCTAGCGATAGACCACAATTGCATTAGCTAGAAAGATTGCTAGCACAAAGTCGGAGAAGGGGAGAACGCACATAACTAGAAATTATGTGAAGTAAGAAGCAATTGAGTCACTTCCAAATTTATTTTGTGCTTGCATTGAGTAGTTTGACGGCCAAACTATTAGGTTATGCTACTTGCACTGTGGTTTTTAATTTGACTAATTGTGGTTTAAATTTCGATCTGTCTATGATTGTAGGAGATGTCCAGTTGCATCGGTGGGATGTTCGTCATTTCGCATATTCCGTAATGAAGACGCAAAGGTTTGCAAGTAATCAGAGATCTTGAAGACGTTCAACCGCGAACTTTCTTCTCCATTTCCAGAATGTTACGATCTATTTCGAACATTAACGACCTGTTATCCTTGAAGGCTCATTTTTGTACCGAAGTACTTTAAGTAGCAGTTTTGGTATATTTTCTTGTTTCGTTTCCCAAAATTTTCGAAAATAGGTTGTAGTGCTGTTGTGGCATTTTGTGAAATCTGATAACTTTTAGTTTACCATATCCCCAACAACTTCGGAATGACTCAAAATGCTCTTCTATATCATACTTATTCCTTCCAGCTGTCAGAGTTATCTTCATCTCCCAGTGGGTAATTTATGGCACACATGGGTTACCGTAAATTTGTCTGTTGATATCTTTAGTACGAAGACTTAGATTACATTCTGCTCTACTGATCGGGAAAACATTTCCCAAACTACAAAAAATTTCGTAAGATCAGCTACAAACTCTACTAAAAGTGCTACTCCAAACGTAGTGTCTGCAGTTTATTTCATGAGTCAGGACTTTACAACGAGAACATTTGGATAGGGCCTACTAGAATAACACACGCAAGTAAAAGTACCAACTAAAAGCAGAACTACGTGTTTTGTTGATTTTTTGCCGTTGAAAATCTCAGCTACTAGGGCTTTGACATATCTGTTTACAAATTTATTTTCTTATTTGCAGGTTTATCGTCTCCTCAGAACTTTAAGAGTGGACATTGGGCAGACCTTTCAGTAATAGATACGGGTCCCGTATCTGCTACTGCTCTCTGATGATGAATCCGCGACGGATCTCGTACCATCAGGCGAACAAAAGTATTGTCTCAGCGATTGAGTCGTCTTCCTCTCAAACCTTTCCGTAATAAGTACATGTTGAATTTGGAATAAAATAGGACTGGCTAAGTTGATTTTCTTCAATTTCTACTGATTAGTCGCATCTTGTCAGACACCGAGTTTATTAAATAAATAGATATTGGTACTGGTTGATGAACGTTCAGCGACCACTAGCAGAACTCACTTATCCTCCTTTGCACTGCCTTGGGCATCATTTCTCGGGCCCTGACATGGCAGCTAGTAGGATAGGCAAATAGTATTGTCGGCAAAGACAAGGGAGACTGGTATTGATTCACCATACTTAGGGCGTAGTAGTAAATAAAAGCGCACACCCATGTCCAGTCCACCGTGAGACCCTGCATAATTAAGCCGCGTGTAATAAGGAATATAAACGGGGCCCCACCATTTGCTATGTAATTGCCGGCATTAACTGTGTTTCTTGAGATTCGTTTCCTAACCTGATAGAAATGCGTTTTGCGTACTTCGTGACAATGCATGAACCAGCTTCGCGTTAATGGGGTTATAAGTGGGATCAAACGATCCCATGCTGTCCCTAAATCTTCATTAGATTTCTCATTTCAAAATTCTATTTTATTAATAAATTAATAGGGCAACGATTTCTTGGAAGGAACATTCTGTAGGTGACTTTACATAAATACCTACGTATATACTTATGTTAGGCCTGTTTCGTTCTATTATTTTACATAAACATGGATTGCAGGACTTTTATACATTGCGTCTCTATGGCTTTTCTTGCGTACAGTTACGTTTAGTTTTATTAATTTATGTCTAGTTGCTAGTTTAATCTTTACAGTTAAATTAATTATCAGTTGGTTTTAGTTCAGTTTACTATTTAGTAAGACAGAAAACCTTGAGTTGTCTGTTACTGTGGTGTCCTTACAAGGAATCGTTGCCATTGATAGGTGCATATCGAGCAGAATATTTCCAAATAAATAGTTTCCCTTTCAGTGCGACAGTTAATATGATTCTTTGTGGAGAAGTCCACAAGCCTCTTCTTAATATAAGCATTCTGTCAACAGGCAAACCCTGATCCATAAACACTGATTGACTTTAGGCATTACCC